TAGGGCTTAGGATTTAGGATTTAGGGGTGTAGGGATTGGGGGTTGCCAAGCCTAGAAACGCCCAGACCCTGACACTCTTCCGGTGCGCTTTCGGCGATTGCTCCACCAGTGGCGGCTCCCCGATCTTCGAGCACATCACCGAGCCGCTGGGACAAAGCGTAGGGCTTAGGGTTTAGGGTTTAGGGTTTAGGGTTTAGGGTTTAGGGTTTGGGCTGTGGCACATCATTGCGTGCGCGTTGGATTTCAGGGGCCACTCATGTGCTCGTTCTCCAGGACGGACCCTGAACCCCGGTATATCGAAAGCCATCATGCCGTCGGATTCTTTTCGGGGGCAAGTCCCTACTTTGAGAGGAGGCTTTAGGGTTTAGCCTCAGTTGGCGAGACCACGCAAGCTTTGCGTCTCAAGCGCTCTCAGGTTCCACTCGGCAGCCTTGATGCATTTGAAGGCTTAGTTGTTCGGAGCCCCCTAATAGAGGGTCGGTATGCTTGCTAATAATGGGATTCCGTTATGGCAATTCTGATTCTCAAGGCCCCGTTATTGCCGGCTAATGGTGCTTTAAGGGGTTTGAGAGTTGCGAGTCGATTGGGATTGTAATCTTGCGTCCTTGTGCCTTCTGCCCAAAACAATCATAACAGCCCCAGTCCTACCTCCTCTGAGTTCTACGCTGTAGTTTGGGTGTTCAGCGGGGGGAGGGGCGTTAATGGTTTCTTGCCTGTCGGCCCTTTTGTTTTGAAGAGTTATAGAGCTCCATTCCAACGTCGATTCTTCGGGTTGGGTGGGGAAGGGTGGTCCTGACTTTGTGGCGAAGAGTGAGAGGGCGGATGGGTTTTTGATCATTGCAAATGGCGTGCTGATTCCTGCCCCTCTCCTCGCGCAGAGCAACACACGCGCCCTGAGTGAAGTTCGCAATCCTGACATTTCAGAGTGCTTGTGTAAACCCTAAAGCTTGAACCCTATAACCCTGAACTCTGAAGTAGGAATTAGACATCCCTACGCAAACGCGGAAGTCGAACGATTGGGGGGGGGCTCTCCTTGGTAGCCTTAGAACCCGAAACCCCAAACACTAAAACCCTAAACCCTACATCCTAACCCCAGGCATGGCTTGCGGTCCTGTATGGCTCCTTGGCAAGCAATCAGGGGTAAAAGCGGCTAAAGGGGTTGACGACTTAGGGACCCAAGAAGCCCTAAACCCCGGAACTCGTTGGCAACCACACGGATGTGGGGTTTGGGGTTTTGGGCCTCGGCTGCAAACTCGGTGGGGCTGAAGGAGGAGCTGGAGAATGAACATGTGAGGGCTTGGGGGTTTCTGATCTGTGGGGCGAGGGCTCCCTTTTTTGAACCCTTGAAACCCTGAACCCAAAACCCTACAGACAACAGAGCCCGAAACCCGAGGAATCGTAAACCGCCCAAAACCGACCACCACCACCAAGCCCAATAGCCCAAGCCCCAATGCCCCAGACACCTTAAACCCTCAACCCTAGCCAGGTGTTTTTCTGTACTTTGTGGCCATAGGCTCGGCTGCAGTCGACCCTCCGTAGGATACGGTATTTGAGGCACCCTTTCGGGGAGAACCCTAAAACCCGCACTCCCAAAGCTCCCTTCAGAGAGAGCTCAGACAACTACACCTTCCTATCACCCTGAGCCTGAAAAAGCCCGAGGTTGAGGTTCAGCACTCAAACCTGCAGCGTAGAGGACAGACTCTGCTAAGGAACAGAGCCTCAGGTTGCCAGAAATACGATGGGTAGACAGTAGATGATGCAGCTTCCCCAGCTATCAGAACCCATCTTATGTTTCTTAACCACAAAGATCTAGTAAGATTACGGGAATTTGTCGAAGGGAGACATTCGGATCGCAGTTCTCCCCCAAGTTTCTTCTTCTGAACCAGTACGCCGAAGAAGTTGGGATCAGTTTCGTCTGCAGCTTAGGGTTCTTGGCCTTGCGGTGGACAACAAGCAAGAGTCTCCCAACCCTAAATCTTCGGATGTTTAGGGCATACCGTACCCCTAGAAACCCCCGCCGGAGAAGGCTAACAAGACAGCAGGCGGAAGCTACAGATGGTCTGTTCTTGATGTAGATAAGATGTAGGGCACCCGAGTAGCGAAGGCCTTTTGGCTCCCAGTCACAAGCTGCCATTGGGCAGTTGGCAGATCCTCCAACCGAAAACACTGACAACCCGAACTCTAAACCCTGAACTGCAAGACATTGAGCCCTACGATCCCAAACGACCAAAACCCTTCAAGCTTGAACCCTGAGCTCATGTGGGCCAGGCCTCTTCAATGCAGCTCGGCATCGTTGCACAACAGCTTTCAGTTCTCCCAACGGGTCCAAGGGACCCTCCACCCCAAGGAGCCCCTACCCCACTTGAGGGACCAAGCAACCCTGTGCAATTCGGGTTTAGGGTTTAGGTTTAGGGTTTGGGGTTTGGGGTTTGGGGTTTGGGGAATTACCTACACTAAACCAAACAGGAAGCAGGAGCAGTCGATCCCAGAATCTCGCAGCGCGCCATAGTGTCGCAGTTTCGTTGATATCGGCGCTGTTCGTGGAGCGACAGCGGCTGGATATTGCCCTCTCAGGCAGCAGCATCCCAGAAGATAGGAATCCTGGGCTCAGGCCTAGAACGGGTCATGGGTTTCGGGTTATGGGTTGAATCTGGTAGTCCTTTTTCGGTCAATTTCCGTAAGGAGTACTACTGCAGGTACCTTAGGGGACTCTGCCCAACTTAATAAAACTAGACAAAACTATCCCGAGCCATAGCAAATGCTCAATGAAGAAGCCATACCTGCAGTGAATGGAGACCGACACCCCAAGCTAACCATCCAAACTCCTCGGATGCTGAGGTCATCAGTGCCATCTTCGTGGAAAGCACGATGATGGTGCCTCCCCTAAACTAGGTATGTCGGGCAGTTTCTATGACTATTGATGCAAGGTTCCAGTGTACGTTTCAGAGAGCAGGCGCTTCCCCTGGAAGAGTCCAAGAAGAAACCCCAGTCTGCTTAAATCAAGAGGCTCCAAGAAAGCGGCCACCCACCCGAAGTTGTTCATCCAAGGAGAATGATCTTGGTAACTATCAGGGAGTCTGGCATGGTTGGGGTTCCCTCATAATGACCCTAAACCCTACACCCTTTAGACAAAGTTGGCTACTTCGGAGCCCAAGCCATAGACCCTAAGGCTTTTTCGTTCGGAACCCTTCTTGGTTGCCTCTATTCATTTGGTTTAAGGTTTTCTATTCTGAGGTTTTTGCCCTAAGCCTTAAACCCAACACCCTAAAACCCTAAAGCCTACCCTCGGGCATAGTCATTTTAGACCCGTCAAGTCAGCGCAGGGGTTCACAGTTGGTTTTTGGGTGCTCGAAGAAGTACCGAGATAAATGGCAGGAGCTACGTCCCCAAACCCCGAGCCTGGAACGAGGTGCCCATGTAAACGCCCAACCGAAAATCCTCTAAGTCCTACGACCTCAACCCTACAATCTTACACACTACACCCCAACTTAAACCCTGCACCCTAAACCCAAACTTCCGAAGCCCGAAACCTCGCGCCCTAAAACCTAAAGCCCTTGGCACCCCAATCCTTATCCCATGACAAACCCGAATACCCTACCCTACACCCTGAACCCTAAACCCTAAACCCGAACCCTTAAGGCAAAGCAAAAGCCCAAAAACCTGCAACCAACAGTCCCCGAATCTGTCTGCAGGCCGCCACCGAGGGCGAAAAAGCTGCGAAGGCAGGAAGGTTTTGGGCCCCTTTTAAGGCTTAGGGGGGTCCCGAATCACCTCAACCCTGAACATCTCAGCGCCTAAGATCCCCGAAGACCCCCAAGAAAGCCAAACAGCCTTGAGGGTCGACGGTCAATTTGCTTTCGAGGCTTGTCTTTAAAGTGCTCTTCACGGACATGACTTTGGTGGAGAGGGCGATAAGTGCCTGGGGTTTACATAGGGTTTTGGGGTTGAAAGTGTGGGTCTTAAACCCTAAACCCTGAAGGAATACATTGCTTCCCCTACTTCTGAGGGCCGGGCCCGGGAGCAAGGCACACTGTGGCCAAAGGGCGAAACCCATCATTGGCGCTCTTGATGTCCTAGGACCCAGAGTGGGCCCGCATTCCCCTTTTTTAGGGGTTTGTGTCTCTTATGAGCCCTTTTGAACCAAAAATGGGCACCCTTGTTATTCATAGGTTACTCCTGGGTCTAGTTGCGGGTTCGGTTGTCACAGGGCTGGGACTCGGGACCTCAGTCTACAGCAGCCCTAGGGTCCGCGCGAAGCCTACTTAGAGTGTAGGGTAGGGGGTCTTGGGTGTTGGGCTTAGGGAATTGCATGCCACACACTCCTTCAAGCTCTGTAGAGCCTATAAGCACTTCAATCCTAAACCCGAAACCCTAAACCCTAAGCTCCATCCCTTTGGGCGCTGTACCCCAGATGCAGGCCCAACGTTTGGCCGACGAGCGCCTTTGGGTGACAAGGTCCTGGCCTCTGATGTCATCCGCACAGTATTTTTGAGTATATATCCTATTTCTCACATAAAACAGCATATATAAATTCCATTTTCACATATAAATAATGTCATACAGAATTCCATGTCTATATAACAACCGAGTGCGCAGAGCGGTTTGGGGTTCAGGGCTTGGGGGATGCTGAAGCGTTCTATCTACGCATGTAGAATCTCATGGAGACAAGAAGGATTGGTGAGAACCATGATGTGTGTGCAATCTCTTGCATGGTACATCATACAGGGTGCCTGGACCGAACAGCGCAATCTCTCAAAGTTGAGGGGTTCGCACCTGGAATCGGAAGCCCCTTCAGGACTCTGTAGCTCTGAACTAGTCGAGCACATAAGCCCTACAAGTCCTTACCCAGACCCCCGGAAAAGTATCCAAAAAGTCGAACTTCCAAATAGCACCCCATACTACTATTTTTAGGAACCTTTTCCCAGGGCGTGCCTAAACCTGTAAACCCTAAACCCTAAACCCTAAACCCTTTAGGAAGCCAAGGGCTTGTTGCAGCCGAGGATCGCCACGCTGCTGCGCGTCATCATGAAGCACACGGCCTCTCGGATGCAAGCCAGTCACCCAAGGCCTGTTACCGAGTAGGGTTTAGGGTTTATGGTTTAAGGTTTGGGGTTTAGGGTTTGGGGTTTAGGGAGTGCTTACAGGACCTTTCATCGTGATATCTACTAGGTCCTTGATGGTTCGGAGTAGAATGTGAGGTGGAGAAAGGGTCAGAGGGAAACAAGCCAAAGTTCTGAAACCCTGGCCCTAGACCTTATCCTATCGGGTTTAGGGTCTGATTTCGGTTGCACTGATTAGGGCAGAGCCCTAAGCCTCAGACAGACATCCTCGGACCGTGCTAGGCGGAAACTCATGCAGCGGTTTAACTTGTTTGTTGTTAGGGGCTGAGAGTTTGGGGGACCCCACTGCCCTTGGACCCCAACTACCAAAATCCTCAAGTTCTGAATTCTGAAGTGTTGAGATTGAGAACCTATCAGCAACCTGAACGGGTTCTACGGATCAGGGCTGTTCCCTAAACCCCAAAAGGCCCTAAACCCGAAGTTGTGGGTAGAGGGGCCCTTCATGGTCCCAAGTCCCTAAAACCCTAAAGCCTCAGTGCCGAGGATCCAGATTGGGATCAGGGAAGGCTTTCCGACAACATCGACAGCCCTGGGACCCGGCGATTGCAAAGAATCCTAGAGCAAGCGTAGGCTAACCCCAGACTTCACATCCTATTTCCCCCCTCACCCTTTTCCACCGTTTCTCAAGCCGCATCTGCATCAATGGAAGGATGAAACATATCCAAGCTTTATGATTATGATATACGGGTTTTTCCAGAACCTGATGGAGCTGATATAAGCATAGATGCGGGTTTTTCGGTGCTACTTCGTATTTAGATTGAACAAAACTATGTGATATATGCTTTAAACATGAGCTGACATTTGTTGGTCATGGAACTGTACATATCATTGACCGTACATGGAGTTTCTAGAGGTTTGCCACAGTGCAATAGATGCTGTGGGGTGGGCACCGGATTTCTGGACCATTTTTCTAGAGAGTCCTGTTCTTCGGCGGGGAGTGGGGGCCATCATCATGGGTTTGGGGGAGCTTGGTAAAGGGATTGAGAAGGTGTCCGAGAAGTTGGAAAGGATGCAGGACCCTAAACCCCCTCCACGGGCGAGGTTGAACCTTCTGCGACATACGCCTTCGTTGAAACCCCATGCCCGAAGCGTTGAAGCTCTGCCAGTCCTAAAACTCTGCTCTGCCGAGGCATCCTCTCCGTCTCACTGTCGCGACAAGAGTTTGACGAAGTGGTCCAGGCCTTCTGAACTGATGACACAGACACCCTAAACCCAGGCGTCGGGTTCATATGGGTTTTCCCAAATATCGGCACCGCTTCTTGGCAGCTTCCTATCCCAAGTCCCAAGAGGACCCTAAACCCTAAACCCTATACCCTAAACCCCCTCGGAGGATGATGCGGCTGCAAAGGCCTTGGATGAGCTGGACATCTGCCGAGAGGAGGGCGGGCTCCGACTGAGGGTTCTAGTGTTGAGGGCGTAATTTTGGGGGTTTAGGGTTGAGGGTTGAGGGTTGAGGGTTCAGGGGAACCCGCCTTGTATAAGCCCCTACAGAAATACGCCTATTAAAGGAAAAGTGTGTGGCCCCTCCCCCCGAAGACTAGAAGACTACCCCTGGCCAAAGCACGAAGAGAATAAGAAACGTAACTCATGTAGTACAAGTGTGTGGGTAGTTCTGTAAATTAGGGCCCAGGCCCCTTGTGGTGTGGGTAGTTCTGTAAATTAGGGCCCAGGCCCCTTGTGGGGTCCAGTTTTAGGGATGTCGTACTACATAGGCGACCCAAACAGGGACTCTAATGTAGCTGAACCCATATAGGGTTTCGAGTGTAATGTGTACGGGCCTGCGTTTGGAGAGGGGATGGGTCGGAAGAGGGAGGGGTTCGTGGGCTTCTGCCGACTCAGGGATATGAAACAAGGTAGCTAGAAAGGGGGTTGCAACGATAACCCCGCGAACCCTGGCTCTCAGAGCTAGGATCATGCCTACCTCTCGTAGGATCATGCCTACCTCTCGAACATCCTGGACCCAGACAACAGCGAGGCACGAATGCCCAGCTTCTGTTTGGAGGGTTTAGGGTTTAAAGGGTTTTAGGGGGTTTGGGTATTTAGGGGTTTGGGGTTTAAGGGCTTAGGGGTGTTTTGGTGGACTAAGGGTTTAGGGTTTAGGGTTTAGGGTGTTGGGGCTCAAAGGGCTTTAGGGTTTAGGATTTAGGGTTTCCGGACTAGGCTTGTCAATCACTTCTCTGAATGTAGGTCCCTTTTGGGCATGTCTGCGCCAGAGCCCTAAACCCTAAGCCCTTACCACAGCCCCAGATGGTCAGCTCTCCAAGTTCTGGTCCCTTTTTTGGGTACCCCAAATACTAGGGGCCGCCAAAGATAATCTAGTAACCCCGACCGGGACCATAATTGGGCACCCAAACCTCCCCCCCGAGCCAGGGAGGGGATCGCACGCTTAGGACGATAGGGTGTCAGGACTTTAGGGTATCAGTGCTCAGGGGACACTATGTCCCCACAACAGTCGGAGAGCCAGAATCGTGTTTCCACACCCCCTCTCTGCGACCATGCTCCCGGGGCGAGCCTTAGGCTCAAGTTGGAACCTTGGGATAGTGCTCGTCTACTCTGTAATGTTTAAGAAGTGTTTTCTTCAAGTATTCTTTCGGATGGGGGTAAGCTCGTTTTTGTTTACAGGCATTCGGTCTCAAAGGCCATGAACGACAGCTGCTATTTCCTTCCCCTCAACGAACCGAGTACCTAAACCACAAATCCGAAAATGCATCCGGCGTCTGAGGTGGTGTCTGTGACAGAAATCGTACAAGGCCTGCAACAAGCGTTTCGAGAACCTTAAGCACTAAAACCCCAGATCCCCAAACCCCACATCCCCGAACCCTAAACCCTAAAACCCTGCAAACCCTAAAACCCTAAAACCCTAAACCCTAACACCCCAAATCCCCAAGACTCCTGAGGCCCCTGAACCCCCAAATCTCTCAAATCCCCCAAATCCCTAGTCGCTCCACCCGAGCCGGATTTTGGCTATGGGCTAGTGTCTTCGGAGTTGGGTTTGAGCCTTTTGTGGGCCAAGGGGTCCACAGATCCTCTAAAAGCCCTAAAGCCTTAGCTCTCCCAGATTGAATCATCCTCAAACCGTGTTCCAACTTTCTGGAGTTTACCGTAGGCTACCCAAACCAACAGCGCAAACTGGAGCTTCATTCAAAGCCGGACCTTCTGACTAAGAAGTCTCTGGACAGTACTGCGCAGGTCTCATAAATGTAGTGGCCCGTGCCTCTCCCAGGCCTAGCCGCATTGGATGCTAGGAGAAGCCATGCCGGAGCCGTTTTACACACCCCCGGTTAGGGTTGGGCATGTCGGTTTACCGACTTGGGTAGGCATTGGGGTTTGAGGGGATTTGGGAGCTTTAGGCTTTGTAGGCTTTCCCCCAAAGCCGACGGGCGCACCACATGAGCACGGCACGGCAGGTATCGAGTCACTTCGTGGCGAACCGCGCCGGAGCGACATCGCCGGAGCGCTCGACTGGGGGGGGGGGTTTGGTTTAGGGTTTAGGGTTTAGGGTTCAGGGTTCAGTGTTTGGGGTTTGGGGTTTAGGGTTTAGGGTTCAGGGTTTGGGGTTTAGGGTTTAGGGTTTAGGGGTTTCGGCAGGTTCTGATGTCGCGGTGCTTCCGGATTCCGCTCTTGTTGGGTCCACAGGGCGTTTAGGTTTTTGGGAT